CTTTTATGGTTCCTAGTTTCATGACATCATATGACATTGGCTGAAGTTCGGATGTTTTATAAGTCTTTTTCCTGTCGTATAGTTTTATTTGAAGAATTAGAAATGCCTCCAAAATGATGTTTCTGTAATAAAACGCTTTTATTTAGTGATTAAATGATAAACTAAACTTTTGAGATCATATTTGAAAACATTTGGGCAGTTGTTTTACTTGATAAACTATTAATAAAATTATTAATATTGGTATTATTATTTTTAACAATGTATTTTAACTATTTAATAACTTTCTCTCCAGATGTGAAATTCTCTGAAAATATCAAACATTACATTTAATAACACATTTTTTCATAACAACAATCTACAACCTAACTTCCAATGGACTATTAGTACGGTGTCTTTTATATCACGAGAATAGCTGCCTATGTATACGAGGGTGAGTCAAATGAAAACCGTAATTATTTTTAAAATATTATTTTTTTGTACACATCTGGTACAAAACTCGACCACTTTTCGACATAGTCTCCCCCTACCTCAGTGCATATTTTCCAGCGCTTTTGCAGTGCCTGAATTCCCGTAGATAACATGTTTTAGGGACACGGTGCAACCATTCGCACACAGCGTGGCGTACTTCATCATCCGAATGGAACTTCTCACTACTCATTGCTTCTTTGAGTGGCCCAAACATGTGGAGGATATCGCTCCGGCCAGGATCAGGCAAGTAAGGTGGCATTCAAATTTCAGGCATGTTATTATTACGACAGTTGCACCAGCCGTGTGGGTCCGTGCATTGCCGTGTTGCAGCAGAACACCTACCTATGGCAGTCTACGTCGTTTCAGTATTTACTAGGTTGTCCGGGTGATGCCGCGGTCCATGGCAAATGAGCCGACGTTTCGGTCGCCATTCTGCTACCTTCCTCAGGGCGAAACGCTTCGCAGGAAGGTCGCAGAATGGTGACCGAAACATCGGCACATTTGCTATGAACGCGGCGTCACCCGGACAGCCTAGTAATTACTGACTCCGGTCGCGGAAGCCTACGCTGTCACGTCGTTTCGTTTTGATGGCAGGGTGGATATGGTTTTTGAGGAGGTCCGTGTGTGTTGTACTTGTGACAGTGGTTCCTCGAACCGTGTAGTGCTCGAAGATGATGCCGTTTTCGTCCCAAAATAGGGTCAGCCTAAACATCGCTGCAAATGTCAGTGTTGGAAACTACTTTGGTTTGGGTGATGTGGAGTGGCGTCTTTCTTTGCTCTCTCTTTTCTTTTGCGGCTGATGGTAGTGGACCCAGGTTTCGTCCCTGGTGACGATTCGTCCAAGGAAGGCATCACGGACACGTTGAACGCGCCGCAAAAGCTCTTCACACGCATCGACACGTCTCTGTTTCAATTCCGAGGTCAGTTATCGGGGCAGCCATCTTGCATACACCTCATGAATTTGGAGCACATTATGCACAATGTGATGTGCAGAACTATGACTAATGTGTACAGCTTTTGCAATGCCGTCTAATGTCACTCGGCGGTTGTCCATCACGATTGCTTCAACGGCTGCAATGGTCTCTGGAATCACAACGCGATGTGCCTGGCCTGGGCGGAGCGTGTCGACCACAGATGTCACACCATTTGCGAACTTCCGACATCATTCGTACACTTACTGCTTTGACAATAGGCATCACTACATTGAACCTTCATTCGTCGAAGAATGTCAATATGGTTCACACCTTCACTTCGCAAAAACCGAATCACATAATGCTGTTACTCTCTGGTGCACGTTGCTAGTGGGGCAGTACCGGAGTTTGTATTTATTCACAATGATGCCACCTAGGAGACTTCTGGCACACTACTGCAAACATGCCTATCAACTTACAGGACACTATCGCCACATTTGATTTTTTTTATTGTTCTTAGGGTTTTCAGTTGACTCGCCCTCGCAAAAAGAGGTTAACACATCGGCCCGCACTAAAAGTATGATTTCTCGATAGCGATAAAAAATGAAAAACCATAAGATACAATGATCTCTTTGACAACTTCTCTGTCATTTGTTAGAATTTAATAGGAAAAATACAAAATAATTGCATATAACAGCCGACTTCGAGAGGTATCATCCAGGAATTCGTAATGACAAATTAAGCTACATGGCTGGGGTTGAAACCATGTAATTGTCGAAAGTTGACATTACGATTCTATTAGACATAAATATAAAATATAGTCCAGCTAGCACAGCTGATTCTTTACAAGAGACAATTTTTTACATACTTTCATAATTCGTTTTTTACAGCAGTTTCTCCTCAGGGCAGATGTCAGAAGTTATTGGCACGTTCAAATTATTTGTCACGAAATATTTCATAGGACTAGTGATGAGCTCTCCAGCTAATATTTAATTCAAACTTGTATCCTTTATATCAAAAAGAGATCATTTGAAGGAAAATAATAATTCGTTTTAATTGTACATAATGAAAGTCAAACTGTTATGCAACTTTGCAAGAATCACGCGTTCAGTTTATATCATGGTAATTAATGAAGAGGATCGTCACTTAATTGCTTAGAAAGAGGGAAAGAGAGCGCAGATATGAAAAGAGAAAAACAAAAAAAGGATAACGATAGCGAGAAAAAATTCAGGGAAGGGAAAAGAGATGGAGAGAGGATGGGAGGGAGGGAGGGAGAAGGAGAGAGATTGAGGTAGACAAGACAGAAAGTATGTGAGTTCACAACAAGTTTCATAAATGCGAAGGCATTAGGTTCTCTTTTTGACGGTGGTAGTCTCTTACTTAAGTGGCTGGAATGGACGATGCTAATACTCGAACAGACATTTCGGAGTTCGTCTCCCATACTCCGTCGGTTCTGTGATTTTCTTCGGTCAATTCCTGACGATTGTCGTAGCAGTAACTCTAACATCGGATTAAGTGCCGTGAGATGATTTCCCTTTCTGAAGACAGACAAACTTAAGGCTCATCACAAAACGAAGGTCAAGGAAGAAATAAACACGTATTGAACATAATTAGAACTCGCAAAACTTCGCATCTAGTCGTACACGTAGGCTTCCGCGGTTCGAGTCCATTACTTCTAGGCTGTCCGGGTGACGCCGCGTCGTTGGCAGATAGGGCCTAGATGGGTCTATCTGCCAACGACGCGGCGTCACCCGGAGAGCCGAGAAGTAATTCGCATCTAGTCGTCCATTCGGAACAAAGGTATTACATTTCGCGCTATTTTTAACATAAGTTACCAACCTAGGAAATCAAAACAAGAGTTATAATCCATGTCCATGGAGTTTCTTAATGTTTAGTTTTAGTATCACAGGACTAAGATCAAACATAAATCGATAAAACCAGAAAATACATCACGATTTATATGTAATCAAATCTCAAACTATTCAATTAACTTTTGCTTGTTTGGAAGAAATAATGCTTTAGCAATCATTGTTCCTAAGCAACTTTGATTGTTAAGCTTGCAGTCAGTAGACATTAATTTAATTCGTACTGTAAGTAAAATAGTACACTAAAAATAGGAACTGGGGTGGTTGCTTATAACAAATGATTGATCCAGGTTCACAGATATAGAAACATATGTGAAATAAAAAACGGTTGCCAAGAAGGCAAATTAACACTGGTTCAACATTTTCCTATGTTTTTTGATAGATCGATAAATTTATTGGTGTTCACGAGCGTGTGAACTACTATGGTCATTTGTCCCGTAAATGCAGTGTAGTGAAATACCGGAATCTGGCGTTGTTCCGCCCCCCGCTAGACCGTGAGATCTGGCACCAAATGACACGTCATCTTGCGAGGGGTTTCCCTCTCCAGGTACCTCCCCTAGTGGGATACCGCCGCAAACGCGACGAGCTCTAAGCTTTTGGCTGGTCTCCCGATGCGAGTAGTGGTGTGACGCATGTACGCAGGTATGTGTAAGAGAGAGGTAGGAGCAAAGATGAGGAAGGAATGATCTCGCAAGGTTTGTTGGGGAACTGTCCGGTAATCGTCTGATTTTGATCGGCGAAAACACGAAAAGCCACTGATCAGATCACCCAATCCCTAGAATTCTCAAGTAAGCAATTGATGATTTTGATCTAGCTATTTTGGTAATTTGGAAAAAACGCCGCCAGAGTCAGGATTTGAACCCTTGTTCATCCCGGCCAGAGATGCTGCAGTGAGAACAGTTCTCCTGAGCTAAATACCAGCGTAGGTGGCTCAGGGCACCAACAGATGTCACTGCAGTCTAGAAGGTTCTCGAGTTTGAGTTCCGACCAATTCTTCCGCTGTCTGGGGAATTGGGCCTCTAGCGATTGGTCTCTCTGGTCGGTGTTTTCCGTGCTTTCTTCGATCAACACAACAGGCAAACGACACAACAGTTTGCTAACAAACTAATCACGCGCTATCTTTCCTTCCTCTTCTTCAGCATTTTCTTACTAGTATTTATTATTACTTGCAATACACTACTACACTGGTGACAAGCCGGGATCTTAGGTGTTCCGGCTGAACGATGCTCTGTTAGTGGGGGATACCTGGTTGAGAAAAATCTATCTAGTCGTCATGTAAGTCGGCACCAGATCTCACCACTTAAGGGGGAAAGATCACCGCCAGTCCTGATGAAAAACATGCACTACACTTACGGAACTATTGACCTTAGCAGTTGCCGCGCCCGGAAACGAGAAATAATCAATAAACCTGACATATCTTAGCAGGTATTACCATCAGCTATCACCAGACCAGGCCTCTATCTTGTGTCACGCTATTAGCGACAACAGCCTTAAACACGCGAACACTGGAGCGTTAAAGATTTTAACTTCTCTGCGCAGAAACAAAAAAAAAACCGAACTCAGTGAAAGGCGGGTTTCAACGCTTTCGATATTCTATCCTATCATCCGCGCATTGTCCGCTTCAGTTGCCCTATCACGAGGTCACGACCCCTAATTGATCCCCTGTCAGCCTCTACCGAAATGAGAAGATCGTATCGCCACTGTTGTTTTCGCTTCGTTAGACATTGTCACACCACGTGCTTAATGCGATTATTTCACAGGGCATTGGACGCTGAAATGAAGCAAATTTACTTTTTATAATCCTTTCAAAAATTCCCTGTTTTTATAATGATATTACGAATAGATGCAATGCATTGAATTGTGATCGTCAATGTATTTGTTTGAGTATCATGGGAATTGTTTCCAATTTTAATGTGTCGTGAACTGTAAACATTTATCAGTTGGTTTATCGGATGGAATTTTTAAATGTATTTCTTCTTTAGAAAAAAAAAGAACGGTACGCTTTCAAAAATGAACTAGACATTTCCGTTTCATAATACCCATTTTAAAATTGTTTTGAATTACAATAATATTGCATTAATCTACAATACGACTACAATGCATTGATCCGTACGAATACGAATTTTGCGACCACAATGCGTTGATCCGTAAACTATCTGCTTTTTTAAAACAAAGAGAAAGCGTGTCTTGAAAAATCTAAAAATATTTATTAGCTAAAAGTACGGTGTGCCAAACAATGACATTCTCACTTTCTAGAAATTAACTAAAAGAGAGTATCATACAAAATTGTTGTAATGTCCTTACAGTTTTCCCTTAATACCCCATCGTTCACTACTATCTTCAAATACGTCTTATAAAAAGAAACTTTGTGAAAACAATACCATAATTACTTCAAACAAATTCTTTTTTATTCTCCCCAGGGCCATGAATTTATAATTTCTTGCATGGTTTATTATCTTTAATATTCTATTTTTAAAATTTCAAACAAAACAATAATTCTTTCAAATTATACAAAAAGTATTCAACGACCAATAAAGCAGCATCCACTTTGATTTCTATGCTTCTTCAAAGCTCAGAAAACTGTTCTTCTCTTCTAGCAGAAGCACGATGACATTTTGTCACTCTCTTAAATAATGCAGCATGTGTCAGCAACAACATACGAGTACACTCAACTCTAAAATTAATAGTGTCGTTTCCTAGGACTCGACTGCATGTATGCGGCCACCAGTCTCGACCTACTGACCTAAAACTCCCCGACTGATGTTCAAGATCACGGAAAAACAAGAGTGTCGGAGCGAAAAATGAAAAAGGACCACCTCTGAGAATATGATGTTCAGTTTGTTTCAAAGAAGCACTGGGCACCAAGCTTTATAACGGTGACATTATGTTATAATGAGTAACCCGGTAACAGACATACTTTATTCAAAGTCTATGTTTCCCACCCGAATGGTTTGTTGGCAAATAGTTGATTTTTTCATAAGGGCGATTTTTTGGTTTTACTCAACATTAATATGGAAATATATTTTTTGTTTCTTTTGCAGATAAGCAAGCATATATTCTTACAAATCTGTGTTGAATTTTTATCAGTAATATTTTTGTCATTCTTGAGTTATATTTGCAGCATATGTCCAATGTCAATTGTTTCTGTTTCGATACACAAACACCCACGTAATAATCTTCCACTGGAAATTATCTCTTACTATTTTATGAAATACCAAAATTACGATTAATACGATCAGAATGCATTTAAAAATTATGAAACACACACAAAATAATCACGTTTGTGAAATAAGTATAAATAATTATACAATACGAATTTTTGATGATGAAATACAATCTAATTGGTATGTAAATGCGCCTTAATAGTATTCATGTCAGTAAAATACGAAACATTTATTATAATTACTCTAGAAACCTTATAATTCCAGAAAATATACTTTTTATTTCGGGCTAGAGTTTGTATCAAATGCATTAACATGCATTACTTATGCACTACTTCAAATCAGTATGTTAAAGAAGACATTCTCCATCGTGCACTGTCGACCAATATTTGCTAGAATGTCTTCGATCAGAGATGCAACTACAAATGCAGTCTTGCAAAAACATTACCATGAATCGTGCGTAACCTTTCATTTCAAACGCCATTGGCATGTGCTCCTCAAAACCAATGGAAAGCCAACCACATTTTTTGGGGGCTGTGACTACAGATCATTTCTATTTTATACTTACTTAAATAACTATAAAAAACATGATGAACAACTTCGTAAAAATGATCAAACCTCTAGAAAGTGATTCCATGAACAATGATTTTCATTTAACTTACGTAGTCTTTTGCGACATTCTTGTTATTAACTAACTTATACATTGTTTCATTGTTCAGAGAGTAAAATTTCTATAGAGGTTTGTAGAAACCCTCTACTGGACAACTATGCGTTCATACGCTACGAAGCTGAATTAGTGCTAGCAAGTACTTTTATTGTATACAATTCCTCATGAACAATCTTTTCTAATTAATTTTTTACACATGTGAATAAAAAGCAACTTCTATAATATTTTCGTGTTAGTGCGTGTTAAGTCTAATATACAATACTTCTCGTACAGTACGGTGCTTATGTGCTATTTACAAAGCTTACTTTTAAGATTACTTCTTCAATAATCTTTCAAATACATATTTTAATTCATTACGAATCTATATTTTCATCTATTTTATGTAGTAACTTTCTGGTGGTTGAAATTCATTTTTTGGAAATTCTTATTACATTAATTGCTCAATTTGAAGATTTAAAAAATTACTGACTTCAAAGGATTACTTTTCACCCTTAGTGTGTCACAAGGATGTAGTAACGTTCAGTTCACGTACGTATTTATATATATGAATTTCATTAAACACTAAGATTCAAAGTTTTTTGTATTAAGCATTCATCAAATAAACAACACAAATGACGAATTATGAAAATACTGAATAAGAATATATTTCAAAAGGCATGAAAATATCAGTTTCTAGTATTTATGTGCAGCATATATTCGAATACTACTATAATTTCACAAGTATAACTCAAGTCCTTCATCAATTATCATTATAAATATCAATGTTTTGATAATGCAGAACAGCATTTCTTTCATTTTTCCTGAAAAGCTTACCCAAATCATCAAAGAACAACGCAAGGATATCTAAACGTAACTTCAAGATAACCTTGCAGTTACAAGATGAGTGGTCATAACTATAGTCGCAAACTATACAAAGCAGTCTATTCAGATATAAGCAATAACAGTTGGCGTAACTATAAGGGTTATCGAAAGTCAAAGTCAAAATTCTACTCACTATGCAAGATCCTCGCAAATAACCTGCACATGACTGTGCAGAAAACAAGATAACTTAATGCGTCCATTACACATTATCCAGTCAAAAAGCACCCCGAAATCACGAAGTCAGTATAAACTTTAAGACTGAAAGTAATATGCAATGCTGCACATACAGGGTTTTTCTTGTCTTCTTCACAATCATTTGCTGACTTTTGTGATGGAGTTTTAAGCATGACGCTACATATATTCAGATCCTTTCTAAGTTGGCTACGAGTAAAGAAAGAGAGAAAGAGAGAGAGAAATAGAGAAAAAAGATAAAGAGAATCATGGTCATGGTTCATTCATTGCTCATGCCATGGAAACTTCTTATGTCTTTCGACTTGTCAGTTTTGGAAGTGAATGGCTGAGTGTATAAAATGTCTGAATAATATTTCAAGCACAGTTATACTAGGAATATCCCTGTAAATATGGAGAGTGTAAGAGTTAATGTATATTAATTTCGAGAGAAAATACTCATTTAACATATTGTAAAATAGTGTAACATCGAATTGCAAATATTACAATTGTTTTTATTAATACGATTATTGGAAATACATTCAGTGTAAAGGTATGCATAAGAATATAATATTCCTAACCTATCAAAAATGTTTAATATAATCATGCATGTTGCAAGAAACGTTCTCACAAACATAAATATCAATAAAGAAATATATTTGTTGAGGGTACATGTGTTATTTGGTTAACGGTTTGCATAAAACAATAATAATAATAAAGAAATAGCAACTGTTTTCAAAACTGCCAAGTGTCAAGACATACCAAGTCATCAAGGGGAGATGCAAAATTTAGAACGGCATGCCTAAAAATGTTCCGCAGGCATTTTGAATAAAAGTATCCTGAAAGATTATCCATCGATGGTAAAGATGTACCTGCAATTAACACTTCTCAAACCTGGAAAATTCATGTTGAATCAGCTCTCTGAAGTGGATCGAATTGGGTTAAGTGCAATCCTAGCTGTAGTCACTTTTTAAAACCAACATGTTTTCATGAATTATCTTCAAATTTCACAAATACCGTACGAGAAATAACAATTTTCTTTGATACATTTGTTTTGACTAAGACTTGACAATTTCTGAGAAATATTTCATTAAATATATCTCGCAAAATAGGTTTTACATGTATTTGGTTTGAGAAAGTGACAGGACAGAAAATCTAAAATCTGAAAGAGAATAACAAGAATGGCTTATTGTGGACTTTGGACAAACGATATGAATTTTAATATAAAATACGTACATACGTAACGTATGTAGTTATAGAGTGGATTTCGATTCTTGCATTACATTTTAAAAGAAAAAATATGTTGTAATTATTTTGAAATATGAAAATTCTGCTTATTTGGAAATATAAAAAGACACGTTACGAAATGACGTGTGTGAAACAAAATGTTCTTACAATTCGATTGGCATCAAAACTTGAGAATAAATGCGTGTGAAACGAAATATTTCTATACTTCACACTTAGGTATCGATTCACTGTTTATTATTAAAAATTTAAATGAACTTCCAACAAGAATCCGTTTCTTTAAGTCCAGAGTTAACATATGATATTGATTCATGACATATCATAAACGTACTATTCTAACAATACTCAATACTGTATCTGAAAGCTAAGCTTAACAATATTATGGAAAATAAAAAAAATAAAAATAAATCGAAATATAATTTTGGTACTAAATGCTCTGATTATATTTAAAATACGAACTGGTAACAAACATGCGTTAAACACGTAATTGTAAATGCATAAATGCCAGTTATCATCAAACAAAATATTCAAATTTCTGGAAACTAGTCAAATAATTTTATTACACCTAGTTCTGAATTATCCTGACTTTACCTACAAAATCTGCAATTGCGCTGCAATGTACATTTTGAGAAAAAATTGACTATTAGAAGATAAGTAAAGTCGTTCGTA